AAATCTAATCCACTTACATGTTCTTGCTCATTTTTTCATGCTGATTCAGAATATAATATTTTCTAAAAATTTAACAATATAAATGTCGTTCAAATTTAACAATTTCTTTTCGTGATCAGCTTTTGCGGCTCTATCAAACCATATATAAATGAATGAAAAAAAAAATTTTACTGAAATTTTGCATTTCCGCTACCTTACATAGAAATCATAAATTGTTTATATATTTCTTTAAACTAGTTTTTTATTGTGGAAATGTGGGTTGTACGCCCATTTCAGTGTGGTCGTGGACGAAATAAAACTAGTTTGAAACAACGACAAATTGATTATCTTAAAACAATGTTTCAAACTATATTTCTTTTTGGACTTGGTATCGCTATTTGTTTTCTAATTACTGAAGTTGGTAAACGTAAGTAATAAACAAAAATTAATTCTTAAAAAAAAAAAGCAAAACAACACCAATTCTATATCTATTTTAATAGGTACAATTGGTCGATTAAGACCATATTATATAACTATTTGTAATCCTATTTGGGCTTATATTCAATGTGAAAGGACATTATTAACAGCAAGTGGTCCAATGGTTGTTTCACAGTAAATTTTAACGAGATCTCTATCTCCTTTCTGAAGTTTCTTAGGAGCGACTCGACAAAAATCTATGACACTTTATAGACAAATAGATCTCAATAAATAGAGCAAAAGTTGTCATAGACTCAAAATTTCTAGATACCTTCTTCAGAGAGATATACGAGTCGGAAAGGTCATAAATAGCCAATAATCTCCTCGCAAAACTCTATACTTTATTTTTTCGAGCTGCACATTTTTTATGAAAACTAGAATAAAATCGAGATGTGTGTTTTCTTGTTCTTTCAAAAATCTCGTTCATATACTTGATGAGAAGTAAAATACTGAAAGCAGCACTATCAAAAATATTTAAATTTTGAAAAAAATAGCAATTTTCGTTTTTAACCAAATATCCGCCTAGAGTTATCCTGTTCGACAATTTCTTTAAGTATATTTATTTATTAGATATGTTACAAATCATTATTGTAATTCAACAGCATCCTCAAGAGATCTTCAAGAAGCAAGATTATCATTTCCATCAGGTCATGCAAGTTATTCAACATATGCATTTGTCTTTTTATTTGTACGTATATAAATAATTATGATAAATCAAAAGAAAATATTTTGTTTTTCATAGGTTTATTTTGAAGCACGTCTTGTTTGTCCACGTATTCAATTTCTTAAACCATTTCTTCAATGTTTATGTGTCGCAATAGCATTTTTTACTTGTTTATCACGTGTTACAGACAATAAACATCATGCATCGGATGTTATTGGTGGAGCAATAATTGGATTTTGTATTGCAGTTTTTGCAGTAAGTTTTTAAATGAAGAGATTTAAATTAAAAAAAAATTCTTTTATCATTTTAGGCAGTACGTGTTGGTACGTATTTATGGAGTTTTAGTGTTTATTGTGAAACAATTGATGAAACAAAAAAAGATCATTTACCACAAGATGAACGTGTTCCTATACCAGGTATTGAAACAAAACCAAGTGGTGAATTACGTTCAAATGATCAAATGCAATTAGAAAATATCAATCAACACCGTCAACCACCTATAATACATACACCTCATAATACGAAATCATATTATGATAATGGTATATCTGTACGAGAACAGAAAAATACTTCGAATTCTATATTTCATGGAGGACGACGTGTATCACCAAGTGGACCATTTGAAGGAACAAATACTTAATATATTGAAATTTGTTCATTATTAGCGATGTCATGGTCAGATAGAATAAATAAAAACACAAAGACATAAATATAGAAAAACTTCTTGCTTTGTTTATTTCAAATGCTTTATATAACTCAATATCTTTGAAAATTTCATGTGTGTGCTTAAATACATTTTGATCAATTATTTGGTGTTGTAATATGACATATTATATCTTAAATATTTATATATCGTTGTTTACAAAAAAAAAAAGAAGAACTTTCAAAATAAAATTTTGCTCTTTACTCAACTTATAATACTATGAATTTATGCTATTCATATAAAACATTGAGATAGGAATAAAAATATGTATGGGTGGGAATCATACCAACTGACACTCGTCGTTTGAGCTCATATTTGGTTTACAAGGAGGTATTGGTGAGATTAATAACAGATTAAAAGTGTTCGTGCTCATGGGCCTTTGTCGAGATATGGAATTTTGAAAAAATAGTTGCTTCGTATAGACATGTCACAAATATTGAGTTTACTTGAAAACTTAGTATGTAGAAAAAAGAATATTCTCTTCAATTCAATCGGTCACTAGACCTATCTATAGACAGTTTTAGATCGAAAGCTCAATAAAAATACATGAATGCGCACTATTTTAGACTTTTGCTATTTTTATCAATATTCCCTTTTTGCGCCCAATATGAGCGCAAACAGCGGAAGGTAGTTGTTGTGGCTTCTTCGTTAATTTAAATGAGAATTCTAAAAAATGCTCGCTCTCAGGAACTTGTATGTGCATGACTCTTTTCATAAATATCCCGGTGAGAAAAACAAATGATGTAATTTACATCAGTTTAATGAAATTTTTTTCCATGAAACATGATGAAGTGACTTTAAAAAAAAGGCCATATCAATAATGAAATGGACATTATTTTTTATGTTTTTTTTGAAAATTCATTGATGAAAACTAGAATTTTAATTCATAAAAATGATTAATTTAGCATCAAAGATGTGCAATAAAAATGCACGAAAATCTCACGATGAAAATTATAATTGACTTTTATTTTATCCTACCGTCTCATTAAGTGACAAAATACATAAAGTATTAAAAATATCTCTTAAACTCAAGAAGAAGAAGGACATGACATAGTCTCTGACCTTGCACATTCCTAGTGTTAAGAAAATGGCATATGCAAGGAGACATTTGTAGATAAGATTCAAATTAATCATTTGAAATTCAATGTTTTAAATGTAAAACTAATAAACTTAATTTACATTTTGTAAAATAATCGTAATTATGTAATGAGAATGATGTTGAAGTAAATCAAAGGAATGTGATGAGTCTGATTTTCTTAAAATAATAAAAATCATGGCCATAAAAAGAGTGCAAAAATAATGTAATGATTTTGATGTTTGTGAAATAACTAAAAACATGTAATATTTTTAAGTTTTACGGTCACTGATATTCATCGAAGAATTGTTTTATTTTCCCGCAAAAGAAAAGAAATTTGATTATTACATTTAAAAAAATCATTCTGAATCATTTACATACTAGCGTCATCTATATTGAATTAATCTTGATTTGTAATATCAAGGTGGATGTGTGAATCTTACTTTCGATGATACCTGTATACAAGTCTTATTACGAGTTTTCCGCAAAATTTTTGAATACTTAGACGTATTAGAAGCCCTCAAGGCTTTAGTTGCGATAAGAGATTGAGTTCCGGTTCTAGTCTAAACATCTTACTAGAGGAATTTTTAGAATGACAAAAATTGCAATAGACAGTAAATCAACATTGTGACTATAAATTGATCACAAACAGTACAATTCTCTTGTAAATAAACATTTTACATTAATTATAAAAACATTGATGATAGGTTCATCTTTTTATTTAAGCACTCTATTTCTTCATTACGGAACATTTATAATCAATAAGATCATGTCCTTTTCTTAATGAATTAACCGGAATTTCGTCAAATTCAATGTAAATTAGACGTGAACTGGAAAAAAGATTTCTGTTACTTTTAATCGACTAGAAAGTATTTCCGACTGGTAAAAAGCTATGAGTTGGAGTGTTCTTTTCGAATACAGGCTTAGAGATTTTGTTCGAAAGTAAAATTGGTATCGTTATTCATATATGTAAAATATTAATTTTTTGAAACATCGATAATAGAAAGTCCATTGAACTGTCGGTATTAGCAAAATTCGAAAACTTCTTATTAATCAAACTTTATTTTTCATCTCCATTGTTTAATCTTAACTAATAAAACCTACACCGAAATCGTGCATGAATATATCAGCAACAAAAAAAGTACAAGAATATCACCATGCTAAAAGTAATGAATCACGTACAAAAAAACAAGTGGTTTGAAACCACTATATAAATATTAAAAAGAAAAAGAAAGTGATAAGTTCATAGTGATGAAAATTTATCAATCGAGACGAAATGTTTTTATAGTTGCTGATTCAACATAAAATGCATGTACATCTCCGGATGGATTAATTGTAAAATTATATCGTTCATTTTTATGATATTTACCAAGAAATTCACCATGAAATGTTTCAAAGAAATCATATTCATCAAAACGACCTAAACCAAGATCAGTAAGATTTATACTCATATGAATTGGTGTTCCATATGGTTGAGGAAAAAGTGCAACAAACTAAAAAAAAAAATATTATGAATAAAAATAAACAAAATAAAAACTCACAGCAGTACGATCATCTATCAATGGTTTACTCCATACTTCAACATTACCATTTAACTAAAAAAAAAAAAAAAGGAAAATAAAAGAATTAATTACAATAATGGTGAGAAAATTTTGAAAAAAATTCGTTCATGAGAGAACCATCTGAATTGAAATCCATCGTTTGACTCTACTACATGGAGATGATTTGGTGAGGCTAGGAAAAATTTTCAATGGGTTCGCCCACATGGCTCTGTCATTGGCAGGATATTAGTTGGAGTAGTTCGCTTATCAAATCGACATGTAAAAAAGATAGTATTTATAAAATTACTTTAAGAATACGTCGTCCCATTATTCCAAGTGGATCTTGATTAATTATAATTAAATTTTTATTTAATATTATATCACGTGCCCAATCACTAATTGTTCTTAAATCAACAGAAAGAATAAGTGGTGCAGCCATAATTGACCAAAGTGCCATTTGTGCTCGTGATTGACCTGGACTTAAACCATAATTACCAACTACAATCTATAAATTCATACTTACACGACGAAAAAAACAAACAAAATCAAATATATTTTACCATATCAGGATCATTCCAATGTCCTGGACCATGAAATGGAGATAAACGATCTTGATTATCCCCAAACCATTGTACAATTGAATAAACACTATCCCATGAATCATCAATATCACCCCAATTTCTCCACAAATTACATGTTTGAGCAATAGCAGAATAATTTGGTTTCATTTTTGAATATTCTTGGTAAGCTGGCCATGAACATGAATATGCTATTGAATAACCAGTTGCATTTAATGCACGTTCCATTGATGGATAACCTGTATCATAATCTTTTACATCAGCATTACATCCATCTAATTTTAAATAATCAACTGTCCATGAAGCAAATGCTAAATTATTAAATCTATGACTAAGAATTCAGATCGAATGTAATTTTACTTTGAGCATCTTGTTCTAAATGTCCTAAAACACCTGGATAACCAGCACATGTTTCAGTACCATAATCTTCATAAATACCAAATTTTAATCCTAATGAACGTACATAATCAGCTAATACACGAATTCCACTTGGAAAACGTTTATTATCAGGTTGTAATGACCCATCCTATATAATAAAAATCTATTTATGTCCTCTAATAGAAATTTTCACTTACAGCTGCTCGTGTATTATTTAACCAACAATCATCAATAATAATATATTCATAACCAGCAGCTAAATATCCTCCATCAACTAATAATTTCGCTTGAGTTCGAATCAATTTTTCGCTAGAAATAATTATTGAATATTTAAAAGAAATTTTTCAATATTAATTAACCTAATACACGTATCAGGATATTGTTGACAATCAGTAATACAACGAAATCGTTGCCATGTTAACCAACCCTTTATAATAAAACTAGATAAACATTTTTTTTTTAATGAGTTCTATTAATTTTACCATAGGTGGCTTTCGTAGGAGACCATTTTCTAAAGAATTTACTTGATGATTATACCAACCAAAGAGCATAAATATAATTAGATAACAAATCATATGTTCTGTCGAATTCATTATTTTAATCTGAAAATTTATTGAAAAATAATTAGAAAAATTTAAAATATAATTTGAAAATAAATGTTAAAACGTCAATCAGTTTTCTAGATAAATATACATCAATAATGTATCAGACGAAAGATGGTAAAGAATTTTTGTTCATCCTTTTGACGTCTATCAATGATAGATAGTAGATTCGATCTCTGTGTACAAGTTCAATAAACAATTCGAATAAATACTAAATTTGAAAACAAAAAAAAATTCCTTATAAATAAGTGTTTTATCGATATTTATTATCGTAAGTTTCTTTAAATCTCGCGTTTTAGCCTTGAATTTAACTAAAATATTAATCCTTTGTTCGTCTTATCAGAATGAATGTTCCGATTATTATTATCAATAAATAGTCACGACATAAACTGATAAGATTTGTCGTGTATAATAAAACTAAGTTAAACATGAAAATAAAATTAAGACTAATCTAATAATATATGATTTTTCATGATGATTACAGTCATTTTTATTGATAAATACCGTTGTTAAGAAGTATGATGAAAAAAAAAGAAGTTATTCTTCAATGTCAAAATAACATAAATCAAAAATAAATTTTATAATCATTTTTTTTTCATTGCATACATACAAAATAAATAAAATTAATTGATAAATATAATTTCATTCTCACTTGGCTGCCATCAATAGTCACTATTAGAAAAGTATCGTCCTCTTGTTACGCATGATCACATTATTTCGAAAGATGTCTCTCGTTTTACAGATTTTAGAATAATGTCTTCTCAAGAATGACAAGATAGAATAATACCTTCAACGAAGGACAAATAAAAATCAATTATGGTATTTATAAAAAATAAAATTTATGTTTCGAGTTCATCAAAATTTTTTTTTGTTTACAAAACATATTTTTATTGTTTTTATGGTAGAATAATTTATGAATTTTTCTATAACAGCTGTCGTTTCTGTTTTACTTATTAATCAAATTCAATGATCAGTTAATTAATATACGATTATAAGTATACACACTTCAAATCTACAGATTCATAATGCGAAAAACTAATAATTCAATCAAATGAAATTGCACGATGATGACAGTCTTGTTGTTTTTGATGTATCATATTTTCTCTAATTCATATTTCGAATACCACAAAACTGAAAATATAGATCTGTCATAATCCAAAAAGAAAAATAAACAATAAATGACAAGAACATTGACAAACAAAAAACATTCTCCTCGATCCATTATTTTGCTTGTAAACATAAACAATCTATTAAAGGTCAAAATTAATAGGTCATAGATTTTGTTTTTTTTTCACTTTCGTTCATTATTTCTGCTGCAGACTTTTTTTTTTTAATGTAATGTATATGTGCTGAAAAGAAATAAAAAGAAGCCAAAGACAGCAAAAAAAAAAGAGAAGAGAAGAGAATAAAGGAAAATGAGACAAAAAAAAAGAGACTGAAGGACAAAAAAGAAATGTAATGCATGTGCATGTAATGCGATTGACATCATGGTGAAGCTGTTTTTTCTTTGTAGATAGTCAAATGAACACACACAGGACAGCAACACAAATGTGAGGAAAAATATATATATATATATAGAAACAAACACAAACACACAAGGATAGTACAAGTCTCGGGAGATAAACGAACAGAAGAAATTAGTGTACAAAAGCATATTCAAAAAAAAAAAGAAGCGACAGTGAAGATAGATAGTAAAACCGAATGGCAAATTATTCTAAAAGTTGTTCTTTGCTTGTGTAAAATAATTTCGAGCAGCAATCATGTTTGATCATATGATGTCAATCTTGTCGATATATAAGAAAAGAATTAAGTTAGAAGCCACTGATACACAGACACACGCACACGCACACACACACACACACGTATATACGACACTAATGAATAATAAAATTAGGACAAACAAAATTGAACGTTTAAGACCGATCTTTATTAAGTGCATCACCACTTGTTGTTGTTGTTTGTTCATCGAGATTATTTTCGCCAGGTCCATTCATATTTGTTGTTGGTAAAACTGATGGTGGTGGCGTATTAGTTAAATGATTTGTTGGTGTTATTGATTTTTCATTGACATTTGATGTTCCTGTTGTATTAACACCAGTTGCTGAAGCACTTATTGTGGCTGAATTTGTTGATGAAACAACATTACCACTTGTTGCAACTGTTTGTTGACCATGCATATGTGTAGGAATTAAACGTGGATTGAGCGTTTGATTTATATTTAATTCTAAACAAGAAAATAATAATAATAATAATAAAAGTTTTTTTTATTTTTTTGAACAATAAAATATATCAAAGAACAAACCCTGTTGGCTAAAATTAAACAATGGTGGTAGAGATCCATTTGGTAACCGTGTATCGGGATCACGTAATTCATCAAAAAATGCATGTGCACATGCTTCAAGCGGTGTTAAACGTGTAGCTGGTGTATAATCAAGTAATCGACATACAAGATCAATAGCCATTGGTGGTGTACGATTACGAAAAACTTTATGCCATGGATGTGCTTTTATTTGTGGAAAACGAAATTCTTGATAATTGGGATTCATTTGTCGAATTTGTTCACGACTTGGTGTACCTAATACTTTAATTATTTCAACTAATTGATCAACACCACTTTCACCTGGAAATATTGGTTGACCAAGTAAAAGTTCAGCAAGAACACATCCAGATGACCAAACATCTAATTATAATAAGAATTTATTTTAAATAAAATATATATTCAAATAATTTTACCTATATAACATGTATAATCAATTGCACCAAAGATTAATTCTGGTGCACGATAATAACGTGAACAAATATATGAAACATTAGGTTCACCTTTAATTAATTGTTTAGCACTTGAAAAAACGAATAAAAAATCAAATTTAAAGAAAATTTTTTGTTTTTCTTTTGTAGTTTATTTTATACCTGCCAAAATCGCATAATTTTAATACGGATGTCTCCGGATCAAGTAATAAATTTTGAGGTTTAATGTCTCGATGACAAATACCAAATGAATGTATATAGGCCAATGCACGAAATAACTGATACATATACAACTAAAATTTCAAAAACAAAAAACAATTCTCTATTAAAAACTCATATTTATAGAATATTCAAAATCTATAAAAAATTTTATATTTCCGTACTAAATATAATGACATTATAGATTATTTATGAAGCGTCATGTATTTACATGAAGGATGTTTTATTAATTCTACAAAAATTAAGAGCTTTGTTCTTGTATTCACTCATATCATAAATTGAGAATAGATAATTTAGAAAAGAAAAAATTTTTTTATCATTATATAAATATATTCTTTTTATGTAGACAAAAAGAAATGCCATTAAACGAATTGCGCACATAATTACACCTTATGTTCTACATACAATTTATTTATTCAAGATACACTTCATTCAAAGATGTAAATTTCAATGATTAATATGTTTTATATTTCTGTTAAAAGAATAATTTGCTTAAATTTGTGTACTATCTTACTAGGTACACATGCTATATCGCTAAGGGCAAAAAAAAATCATTCATATTTTTTGGCTATCTATAATCAAAATCTGACAGTTTTTTTACAAATCAACCATGACATAATCTATGTGATTCATACTTTGACATATAGCAACGGAATGGTTTGTTTTTGTTTTGTATAATGACGTGCGACACGATAGACTGTTTCCGGTACAAATTCAAGTACAAGATTCAAATAAACTTCTTCTTTCAGCTAAAATCAACAACAATATACATTATATATATATAAATGTATGTATTAGTTTTCAATTTGAATTTAAAAACAATATTTACTTTGTCACCCGATGAAAAAAAGAAATATTTTAATTGAACAATATTTTGATGATCAAGTCGTCTCATAATCTGAAGTTCTCGATTCTAAATTAATGATATATTGTCTTTTCTTTTTTTCCCCAAATAGGAAAAAAAAAAAAAAAAATTTAATATTTACTTTAAATCTTTTATCTTGTAAAACTTTTTTTATGGCTACTTGTTCATTTGTATGTACAATTTTAGCTTGATAAACAACACCAAATGAACCATTACCAATAACTTTTGTATCTGTATATGATATTTCTTCGGATATTTCAGCTCCACGACCTCGTGTTGCAACTACTGTTACTGCTTTTAAATTATTAGCATCTAGTCGATCTAAATCAATAGAATCATTTTTCGTCTAACAAGAAAACAAATTCATACTATCAACTGCTTGTTTACGTTGTGTTGATGATGCTGTTGCTGATGTAATACTACTCATTTTTATTTATTTATTTTTTTTTTTTTTTGTTTTTTATTTTAAATAAATATATATTTTAGAGAAAAATCCGTTTTTCTTTCATATTTTATATCTCGATGATAAATGAGATCAATATTAAATCTAGAAGAAACAAAGATCAATTTATTTATAAGGAAAAATTCATTTTTTTTTTTTTTTTTTTGTTTCTATCGATTTTGTCTTGGTACTGTTCTTATTCTAACTGATGGTGCTAATGGACGTTGTGGTTGTATTGACATTTGTTGATTTGAATTAGCTTGTTCATTTGTTGTTATTGGTGATGATGATGTATCAGGTCCTTTAAGACCAGTACCATTATTCATTGCATCTAATAAACGTTTTGTTTCTAATGGACTTGTAAATGTTTGTTTATCAAATTGTTTTTCAGTTTTTTCTGTCATATCTTTTGTATGTCGAAATATATCGTTTATTTTACTTAATAAAGAATTTAATTCTTGTACACGTATTTCAATTTCCTTTGATGTTGTTATTGTACGACCAAATGTATTACTATTATTTGTATTAGAATTTGTATTTAATAAACGTTCACGTTCTTCAATTTCAGGTAAATTTTTTGTACGTAATAATTGTGGCATATAATCATGATTAAATATAGATAAACGTCTTTCAGTTAATTGTTCAACATGTGGATCATTTTCAGGTGATAAACACATTGGTATAATAGAATTTATACGTAATATTGGTAATATTTGACGTAGTGATGTACGTAATGTTGTTATTTGAGATGATAAAACATTCATTTCATCAAGTATTGTTGGCCATGATGGTTGACCATGTTCATATTCTGTAAAAAAATTAGCTAATGATTGTTTTAAATCACGTACTTTATCTAAGATTTGTTGTAAGTTTTCGTATTCTGTTAGTTTATTTAATGTTGTTGATGTTGAACGAGCCATATTAAAAAGAAAAATAGTTATCTAAAGAAGAAAATCGTATGTATGATTTATTCATCCGTCATCATCGTTTGTTAAGAATCGTGTGGGTGTCTCTTTGCTTATTTCTTTCATCTTGTCGATGGGTGATGATCAAAAGAGCCATACCGGTGGTAGGTGAGCAACCGAGGTCAACAAATAAAGATATTTTTATTTAAATCTTATTAAATTTTAAGAAAAATTATTTATTAATATAAAATAAAAATGTTTTTTAGAGAATATTTCTATAATATAAAATTAATTAGATAGATGTCTTTAGTGTATTATATTATATAATAGCGTCATCTAGGTTCTGTGTCTTTTAGAAAATTTTAGATTAACATAATTATTATGCTTTTTTTTTCATTCAAATCTAATTTGAATATAAACGAATGCAATAGAAATGTGTTTTTCTTGTACAGATTACTCTATTTAAGTAATGCGAAAAATTCTATTTGATTGGTATGAAGAAGCATCAGTAGAGAAGATCAAAATGATCTATTTTGAATAATACGAATGATGAATAAGAATATTCTAGTTATGCATTGTAATCGTTCTGTTTTCATTGAATGTTAAGGGTACCCCCCCCCCCCGCCCCTCTTTTTTGACTCCAAACTCGATTTTGAGCTGAGCCCAAAATATGATAGCCTGAGGTGCCACGTCCAGCTAGAGACATTATTCGACTCGAAATGTCTTAGTTTTACCTACTTATTAGATTGAGAAAAATTTTTTTTCATAGTAATCGTATGTAAATTTTTTTCTTTTACTTAGCGTTCTGTAAAACAGCGATTTTCTAGATCTTGACTGCTTACGACCACCTTTTTAGTTTGTCCGATCGAGCTGAAAATTTTACCACTAATACTTCGAAGTATTCTCCAGAGGTAAAATCAAGGGTTTTCATTTTTGATGTTCCTGCTCGGAGTTACCGGGTCGTGAAAGTCAAGATCTGAAGCACAAACTCAAATCTTGGCGTATTTCTCTTATAAAAAAAAAAGAAAGTGAGATTTCTGGAAATCCTTAAATTTACCTCTGGGGAATAGTGTTAGGAGTCTATAAACAAAATTTCAGCCCAATCGGACAAACTTTAAGGGGGGTCGTAATGTGCCAAGATGCGAGCCTCTGGAAAACCAGACTTTTCCGAAAAATCCCACAAAAACTTATTTAAAATTTTTTTTCCTCGAACACGTATCTCCTTATTTTTAGTGCTCTATCTGTGCTAAAAATTTCAGCTTGATCGGTTGTACCGTCTTCGAGAACCAACAAGTGTCAAAAAAGAGGGGGGGGTACCCTTAAGACAAAAGTACGATAATATCAAATATAACTTGTAGTGATTCAATGATTGAGTTAATCATGTTGGCCAGCCTTCTTTTTCACGTTGATGAGTGTTGCAAGATTGAAGAGTTCTAAATTTGGAATGCAGATCTAAAAAATCGAACAATTCCAAAATTTCTTTTTAGAAATCCGGGAAAAAAACTCAGAAGAGCTGGCAACACTGGTGTAATGCTTTCTTTCAATCACACTCACACGCCTACATCCACATTAATACAGATATTAAACGTTCTTGAAAAGAACTTGCTTATTTAAGTTTGTTTTCAGTGAGATATTTTATTAGCAGTCGGTTTTAGCTTGATCATCAGAAATATTTCATCTTCTTTCTATTTTTGCTGTCATAAATATTTGTGTAGGATTTTTTTTGTTTATGTGTGATTCAATACATTCAAGTGAACCTTCTGTTGTATTGCGCCCAATTGTTCCAACTTTGTTTGCCATTGGCGTTATTTTTTTTTTGAATGTTTGACTTGGTTTATTATGCAGGAGTCACATAGAATAGAAATAACGGAATATTAAGTGTGATTTTTCTGTACTATTCTATTTCTATGACGATTGTTGTGTCTTTACACTCATTGATACTTTAATGGACCTTTCGTGATCAACGTTTATTGTTATTATTAGAATCTCTCTGCCTTTCTTGACAATAGGACGTCGAAAATATGTTTGGCAGGCAGTTTTCAGGCAATATGCTGGAATTTTTGTAGACGAACAGTAAAAAGCGAGAAAGGCAAGTATCTTTTCTCTACCTGTTTTTCGTCGAAACTCACGTTAATAATACTCGAGTCCAAAATGTCATCACAATCTTGTTGTACTTCTGACAGAAGAAACAGAGAGTCTCGTAATGCTCCGCAAAAATGGAGGCATGTACACTTATGTTTGTTTGCTAACAGACGAAGCCTTTCGCTTTTTCGTCGTCTAGTACCCAAAGAAAGAAATACGATTACTGGTAACACAGTATATGATGCGTAAAAAAGTGATCGCTGTTTGGTAAATTTATGCATATTTCTGAGAAAGAGAAATGGATTTGAAATGATGTGGTGCGCCAGAATAGACAACCCGAGAGTAGCTTGCACTTTCCTTCATTTAGCTCATAAAGGAACTGTACTAATTGTTTTGTTTGTCGAGAACCAAATGCAATAGAAAGAATAAATGGGTATAACTTCCGTCTCTTAATATCTTCATTTTTATTTGAATTTTTTTAAAACGACATCTTTCTGCGTTCTATTTCGATTCATTTTGCATAATGACAGGCAGTATTTGTTGCGCATTTAAGTCAACGAAACATTAAGTTGTAAGATAAATAAAAGATGGCTAGCTTCCATAGTATCGTAAAAATTGTTCAACTTTCATTTGACATTGTGTTTTCTTCATATTCGACCAACTAATTATTTATGTTTAGTCTTAAAATTTACAGAAAAAAAAAATCACTAAACACAAAATATTATACAAAACTTGAGAAACTTCCATTTACCGGAATATCAAATGGCTAAAGCAATAGGTATTGATTTGGGTACAACATATTCATGTGTCGCTGTATTTCAACATGGTAAGGTCAAAATGATTCCTAATGAACAAGGTAATCGAATAACACCATCATACGTTGCATTCACCGATAATGAGCGTTTAATCGGAAACGAAGCTAAAAGTCAAGTAGCATTGAATCCAAACAATACAATATTTGATGCTAAACGACTTATTGGTCGTAAATGTGATGATCCAATTGTACAAGCTGATATGAAACACTGGCCATTTCAAGTAATTAATGATGGTGGTAAACTAAAATAATAAGTTCAACATAGAAATGTAACAAAATTATTCACTCCTGAAGAAATATCCTCAATGATATTAACAAAAATGAAAGACATAGCAGAAGCTTATCTTGGCAAAAATGTTTTCGAAGTTGTTATTACTGTTCCAGCTTACTTTTATGATTCACAACGTCAAGCTACAAAAGATGCTGGTACTATTGCTGGTCTTTATGTATTACGTGTTATAAGTGAACCAACAGCAGCTGCTATCGCTTATGGTTTAGACAAAAAATTTACAGCTGAACGAAATGTACTAATTTTTGATTTGGGTGGTGGTACATTTAATGTATCAATTTTAAGCGTCGAACAAGGTATCTTTGAAGTTAAATCAACAGCCGGTAAATAATACGAAATTTAACTTTTTAAAAGATTTTTATTTTTGATCGTTACTTTAGGTGATACACATTTGAGTGGAGAAGATTTTGATAACCTAATGGTTTAATATTTTGTTCAAGAATTTAAACACAAACATGGTAAAGATTTATCAGGAAATAAGCGTGCTCTTTGTCGTTTACGTGCTGCTTGTGAATGTGCTAAAGTATATTGACTTTTACTTTCCATTGAACTAAAAATATTAACTAAATTTTTGTTTGTTCTTTAGCTTAATTTATTGTCATCGTCTCAAACATCAATTCAAATCGATTCATTACACGAAGGTATTGATTTCTTTTCAACAATCACTCGTGCTCATTTTGAAGAAATTAATCATGATTTATTTCGCTCAACACTTAACACAATTAAAAAAGCTTTACAAGATGCTTGCATGAATAAAAGTAGTATTCATGATATTGTTCTTATCGATGGTTCAACACGTATTCCAAAATTACAACAAATATTACAAGATTTCTTCAATGGAAAAGAACTAGACAGGTCAATTAATCCAGATGAAGGTGCTGCTTATGGTGCTGCTAATCAAGCAGCTATTTTCGCTGATGATAGATCAAAACAAGTTGAAAATGTCATGCTACTTGATGTTGCACCATTTTCATTGGTAAGTAAAATGTACGAGAGAGTTCTTTTGTAACTCTTTCCTTTTTCAAGGGTATTGAAACAACTGGTGGTGTTATGCAAAGAATAATATCGCGTAATTCAACAATCCCAGCAGCACGAACACGAATATTTACAATATATTCAGGTGAAAAGCAGAGTAGCAATGATGCAAAAACCCAAACAAGCACGCCATCAATTTATTCGAAGAATCTATCTAGTGTTGCTATTAAAGTCTTCGAAGATGAAAGACCAATGACAAGAGATAATAATTTACTTGGTACATTTGAACTTTCTAATATTTCATTACCAGCTAATGGGGACCCACAGATTTTGAAATTACATTTAATATCGACATAAATAGTATTTTAAAGGTTTCAGCTCTGGATAAAACTTCTGAAACAGAAAAAATAATTACAATAACAAATGACAAAGGATGTTTATCCAGAGATGAAATTAAACGTATAATTTTGATGCCGAAAAATATAAACAAGAAGATGAAACACGACGTGACTGCATTGCAGCTAAGAATACACTTGAATTATGTTGCTTGGACTTCCAAACAACAATCAATAATGAAAGCTTAGCACATAAAAATTAAAGGCTTCTGATAAGAAGAAGATCACTGATAGTATGGAAAACATATTCAAATGGTTGAAAACAAATAAAGTAAGAGAAATATTATTTTTATCTTTTTGTGAAACATGACTGACAATGAGTGCTCATGTATATAGTGAGAAAAGTGTCCCCCGTCCTCAACCTATCTCACAGATCGTGACAGACAGACAAAGTATTTTGGTCGGCGTAAGTAGGACTCGTCTTTATAAGTAGAACAAATTCAGCTTTTTTCACATTGCTAATCATTAGGGATTATGTTGAAAACTTGTTTAATTTATGTTATCTATTTTATTAACTTCCTGGCAAAAAGCAATTCGAATCTAAATTATTAGAACTTCAAAACATGTGGTCAGCTATTATCGCCCAGCTTAATCAAGACGGAAATGGTGCTGAAAAAATACCGGAAGGTTTTCTCGGCGGTTCAACAGGTAAGTAATCAATTTTCATAACTTCCTAATCATAGACAATATGTTAATATCAAGAAATGTCGTAAAATAAGTATATTTTTTGCTTCAGAACTTTTTATTTCTTAATCTCACATATTCTGCAAAATCATTTTGAAGATTTTCTATTGTTTTATTCGATCCAAAATTTAAGTCAACTTTTTGATCATGAAAAATTTCTCTTCCTGTAATCGATACGATATGATGCCATTATGCAATACATTTTCATTCCATATTCTCTCGGGAGCCCATGCTTTTTCATACGGCTCATTCATCATGAGGAATTAATTACGGAGAAATCTTCCACTTCTCCCTGAAAATTTTTCTGTAACATCATATCAGTTTCATTTTGGTTGCAGATTTGGGTGTGGGCGAAGAAAAGACTCACCCACACCATTCAATTATCAGCAAAGGATACTCTTTCAAGACTTACGTCAGATATTTAAACAGATAAGGTAGAATGACGAATATTTCAAGCAGCATTCATCTACAGAAAGTACTTTTTTCTTGGAACTTGCTCTAAAATGCTTTATTCTTTCATAGGTGGATCACCAACTGTTTCAATTCCTAGTCGTTTCTACAACGCATGCCGAGAAAATAATATCGATTTGGTTAAAGACTATTTGCAAACAATGTCACTAGAAGAAATTAATAAAATGGAACCCAATGGTTCTACCGCACTTCATGTAGCTGCATATTGTGGACATGAAGAAATTGTTAAGCTTTTACTAGAGAAAGGTGCTTGCTCTTCAACAATAAATAAATATAATTGTACTCCACTTGATGAAGCTAAAACTAATAAAATAAGACAATTAATCCGTCGTCGTATGAATGGAAATCGTTTTGTCAGTGACACTATCGAGTGGATTCTTTCAACAGGCGATGCTGATTTCATAGCACATAAATATTTGAAAATATTGGAAAAATATGGTACAGACCCCGACTTTCATAGATTGATTGTTTATATAAAACAAAATTATCTTGAAATGGACTTGCAGAATATTGATGACATCAATATAATAAAAGAATATTTTGATATGGCAATAAACAAAAAAGATCCTGTTTATTTACTAAAAGCATATACAGCGGAAACTGGTTTTTATTCTACACTCAATGTTCATCTAGCACAATTACGGCTTGAAAATCTAACTAGCCAAGAGAATATTAGTCGAGCATATTATATTGGAATAATTGCTCGTCATCCAAAATTCAAAACATATTCATACACTGGAGAAGTATTTCGTGGTATGGTGATTACTGATAATGATCTAAAAAAATACCAAATAGGCACACGTATTTTAACTAAAACATTTTCTTCGACGTCAAAAAAGTTGCATATAGCATTAAGATTTCTTGATAAAAATCAAAATACAAATGGTGGATTAAGTACAATATGCAAATATCAAATACGTAATGAAAGAACTGCGTTAGATATTGAACACATATCATTATTTGAAGATGAAAAAGAAGTATTAATCTTACCATATTCAGCATTTAAAATCATTGACATTAAACAAAATAAAGACAGTTCACCTAGAGTTGAAATAGACCTGAAAGAATGTGAGCCATGGTAGTTCGCATTAGTGGTTGATGTTTCAATTTTTGAGCTATGATATTCATTCATATTTTTCACTTATGATTATGACATAATAAATAAAAAAAGATGAAAATAACAATTTTCTATTTGATAATGGTAGTGATGAATCATAACTGCATCGCTTGTAATAAACCTGAAAATGGGTGTGGGTATAAGTGAGAGTTGCAAGAGAGAAGTGGTTGCCTGTGATAGTGGAGGTGAGTGAAGAGAGGATCAACATCCAAAGCCACAACCACACTCTTAAAATAATTTGATCGTATCAAACTCTTCTAATAACAATATAAATGTTCTAAAGGATGTGGGTGTAGGTGTGCATCTCATCTTGAATCACACCCATAGCCAAAATTTTATAAGATAGAACCGTAAGGAGCCACAGGTGAAATTTTACCAGGAAAAATCTTCTTCGAAATGTATTTGATTCAATCTAATTTTCGAGATTGATTACCAGCGCTGTATTTATTTTGTTTTAAAAACGCTTTGTGAATATGAAAATCGCTAAAAGTATAGTTTTTTGGTTGAAGAAACAATCAAAAATCACTGTTTAATAGAGATAAGTGAACTTCATTTCTCCTCGAAAGTCATCTGTTTTCGCCGCACCTTTATCGACATAGTCTCTATATTTATGTGAAAGCGACAAATGAAAATTTTACAAAAATTTTCATTCTTATCTTTTCCTTTTCAATGATAAAAGCAAAATATCAAATTTTCATTTAATGTTTTTTTTTTATTCTCGAGATCATAAAAATGACAGAATCATTGCCGATTAAGTTTCAAGAACATCTACAAGTAAAACTGATCTATTTTATATTCATAATTAAATCAAATGTTTCTGTATTTTAGTTACAAAATGTTGGTATCAATATCACAAATATTGGTTTTAGTTCTCTTACAATGGAATCTGATAAATTTATATGTGTACGTGAGAAAGTTAATGATACAGCTTTTGTTATTATTATTGATATGACTGATCCAACTAATCCAATTAAAAGACCAATTACAGCAGATTCAGCAATTATGAATCCAACAAGTAAAATTATTGCATTAAAAGGTAAAGTAAATAGTTTATTTCAAACTGAATAAAATAAATTTATTATTTTTCCATTAGCTGGGAAAACATTACAAATTTTTAATATTGAATTACGTAGTCGAATGAAAACATATACTATGACAGAAGATCCTATTTTTTGGAAATGGGTTAATATTAATACAATTGGTATTGTTACAGAAACATCTGTTTATCATTGGTCAATGGAAGGTGATACTCAACCGATTAAAATGTTCGATCGTCATGAAAGTTTACTTGGCTGTCAAATAATTAATTATCGTACAGATGAATCATTACAATGGCTACTTGTTAATGGTGAAAAATTATTATATATGTGTTTTTGATAATAATTATTATTTTTTAATTGTTAGGTATTAAAGCTGCAGAAGGTCGTGTTGTTGGTCGTATGCAACTTTATTCAGTTGAACGTAAAGTTTCACAACCAATTGAAGGGCATGCTGCTGCATTTACACAATTTAAACTTGAAGAAAATAAGAAATCATCAAAACTTTTTTCATTTGCTGTACGAGGACCACAAGGAGGAAAAGTAAATAAAAATATTCTTTTTTCTATCTTTTCATTTTCTTTTACATAGCTTCATATTATTGAAGTTGGAACACCATCACCAGATAATCAACCATTTCAGAAGAAATCTATTGATGTACAATTTCCAGCTGAAGCACCGAATGATTTTCCTGTTGCTATGCAAACATCAGCTAAACATGGTGTTATCTATTTAGTTACTAAATATGGTTATATACATATATTTGATATTGAAAGTGGAACATTGATTTATATGAATCGTATTATTGCTGATACCATATTTGTTACAGCACCATATGAATCAACATCTGGCATTATTGGTGTTAATCGTAAAGGACAAGTAGAGAAAAGTTTATTTAAAAACGTCATAATAAATCTTTTTTTGTTATAAAAGGTTCTTTCAGTCAGTATTGATGAAGATAATGTTGTTTCATATATTCAAAATATATTAGGCAATACTGAACTTGCTTATAAAATAGCAGCACGATGTAACTTACCAGGCGCTGATGAATTATTTGTTGAACGATTTGCACAATTATTTCAAAGTGGAAACTATAGTGAAGCAGCTAAAGTTGCTGCTTCAGCTCCTCATGTAAATTTTTTAAGTTTATTTACACATTCGATTTATATTGAAATATCATGAGAACTGAAAATTCTTTTGATAGATGTGATTGGAGAAAAAGTCCCACACAATTATAACGAAGATTTTTTAATAGAATAAAGCATAAATAGATTATAGATAAAATTCTTCTATTTTATAAAAAAAAAACATAGCTTATAGAATAAGTACGATAACATAGACTTATAAAGTATGTTATCTAGTCCTTGTTTATACTAGTCAAGTTAAGTTTAGTTTTTTTTGTCTACTTATTGGTCAAATAATGATAAGACTGACTCACACTTGGAACCAGACCAGTTGGTCTATTCCAGTTAAAAAAGTTGGATCGGTTCTAAGTATAAACTGAGTATTATAATAAACGAAAAAATCGATATAATTTTTGTTGCATAATCAACAGTTAAATTAATGATTAATAATTCGTATGCAGACATTATTTGATGTATGAAAGTTCGAGATCGAGGAACTGAACGATTCAAACAAATCAATTCTACTCGTACACATGTGGCAGTTCCTTAGGTATAGTTTACATCAAACAAACTGATCGTTATACTGGAGTCGCAACCAGAGAGAGCCCTCAGAATGTCCAACTTCTCTTGAAAATTCTTCATAATTTATGGTAATTTTTATAGTTTCATAGTCATTTTTAACAGAAACCATATTTTGAATCATCATTTGCCTTTCTCTAGGATCAAGAGAAATAGAATAAGTAGACAATGCTATTGCGAGGTGACTGGGATTGTAGAACGAGCAACTTAGTGGAAGAGTCGCAGTAGATTTTGCTTTCCCTCCTCTCTCTAGGCCCCGATTACCACGTCTAGTACTCTGACAAGACAAGCACTTTTTGCCGAATATTTAGCCTCTCTTACCTCTAAAAGCTACCGGCAATCCTGCACTAGATCCTGTAACCCTAATTAAGAACTCTGAACTATCGCAGGTCTATGCATTATGTATATATCTGTATGTTTAGAGTTAAGATTAACTTAACGATAAATATTTTCTTTTAAGAGAATACTTCGTACCGAACAAACAATTCAACAATTTCAAACAGTACCACCACCAGCAAATCAGCCATCACCATTACTTCAATATTTTAGTATCTTATTAGAATCAAGTAAATTAACTAGAGAAGAATCCATTGAATTATGTAGACCAGTTGTAATGCAAGGAAAAAAACAATTATTAGAAAAATGGTTAAAAGAAGATAAAGTAAATAAATAAAATTAATTCTTGAGAAAAAAAATGTTTTATTTTTGTTTCTAGCTTGACTGTAGTGAACAATTAGGTGATATTGTTAAATCACGTGATTCCACATTAGCATTATCAGTTTATTTACGTGCTAATATACCAATGAAAGTTATTCAATGTTTTGCTGAAACAGGTCAATATCAAAAAATAGTTCTCTATGCTAAAAAAGTTAATTATCAACCGGATTATATTTATCATTTACGAGATATAATGAGAATTAATCCTGAACAAGGTACTCAATTTGCACAAGTAAGACAAAACAAAAACATTTTATTTAAAATTAAAAAAAAAAATATTCATTGTATTTCTATAATAGTTACTTGTTCAAGATAGTGAACCATTGGCTGATTTAACACAGATTGTTGATGTTTTTCTTGAACATAATCTTGTTCAACAATGTACAGCATTTTTACTTGATGCTTTAAAAAATAATCGAGAAGACCAAGGACATTTACAAACACGTTTATTAGAAATGAATTTAATGCAAGCGCCACACGTAAAAGTTTGTTATTTTTTTTTCTCAGAACAAAAAATATTCTTTGTTCTTATTTCTAATGAGAGGTTGCTGATGCTATCTTAAGTAATAATATGTTCACACATTATGATCGACCATATATTGCACAATTATGTGAAAAAGCTGGTTTACTTCAACGAGCACTTGAACATTATACAGATTTATATGATATTAAACGAATTGTCGTACATACACATTTACTTAATCCTGAAGTATGTGTTCAGTAAAATTTTGTTCATATGAAAAAAAAAATTGTTTTTCTTATTTTAAGTGGCTTGTTGATTATTTTGGTCGATTATCAGTTGATGATTGTATTGAATGTTTAAAAGCAATGCTTCAAGCAAATATTCATCAAAATTTACAAATTGTTATACAAATTACAACTAAATATCATGATCAATTTGAAACAAAACAATTTACTGAATTATCGAAACTATTGGAAAGTTATAAAGTAGTGTCCTGCAACCCGGTCGGGTACCCGGCACCCGACCCGACCCGGCACATGGGTTCGGGTAGGAAACTGCCGGGTCGGGTCGGGTACCGGTTACAAAAAAAAATAGCCGGTCGGGTACA